ACGAAAGCGCACGCGAGACATCGATGGCACGCCACCTGACCTCCATAATCCGCGTGCCGCATCCGCTAATAAGGCCTGGGCGTTACGTGCGGGTAGCCTGCCTCCGACCCGGCGGAGCGCGCCTCGGGCCGCGGAACATTATCGCAATCCATTTGTCCTCACGGAGCGGCTCATCTATTAGCATAGATTACCTCGGCCGTGTCTATACGTCGATCGACGCTGGCGCAACGACAGCGCTCACTTGACCTACCCCGCGCGCGCCGCCGCGTCGGCACCGTCGGCGCCGCGTCGGCCGCGATGCCCGGCGGCAGTAGCCCGTCGACGGCGGCGGCGATGGCAGCGAGCGCGGCCGGCGGGCGGCGGGCGGCGCGCGCGCCCCGACCGTGACCGGCCGCGCCCGACCCCGCCTGACCCGGTGTGACCTGACCCCGCGCGAGCGCCGGCGCCCGCAGGCCACCGGCGATGAAGCTACGCGTGGTGCGGACGTACACATCGTGGCCGGTGTCGGCCGTGTGGACGACCGTGTCAGTGGCGGTGGCCGTGCTCGCCGCCTACAGCTTCCTGCAGCCGGCCTGGTTCCTGCGCGGCGGCCGGCGGCCGGAGCTGACCTTCGGCGCGCTGGCCGTGTGCCGGCTGAACGGCACAGCAGCGCGCTGCGCGCCGCACGGCCCGGCCGGCTCGGTCGTCTGGCAGGTGACGGCCGTGCTCTGCGGCGGCGGCTGCGTCATGCTGGCCGTCGGCGCGCTCGCGTCACTGGTGCACGGCTTCCTCAGCACGCACCGCTGGCGGCGGCGCGCCTCCGTCATCGCCGCCTACATCCAGGCGACGGCAGGTACGGCAGATCGACCGGCCTCCGGGCCGCCCGCCCCCGCCCGCCCCCGCCCGCCCCCTGCTGTCCGCCCGCCGTCTGTCGGCACGGCAAGGTCAGCGGGTCGCAGCCCGGGCCACAAATTGCCGCCGCTGCTCTCACACAGATTGCGGGATGGCGCGCGTGTCGTGCCATAGAGAATTGCTGTGCTGAGGTAAATAGTGCAGCTACAAATGAGCCACATCACCGGTGTGCCATAGATTGCATGTGGTGACAACAATATAGATAGGCATTGCCAAACACTGCCTGGTACCGAAATGAATGCCGATTAGCACTAGGCAATGCCTGCTCTACTAGACAGGTGCATGCTGGGTTGCAGGCGTCCTTTAGCTCAAGAGGTAGTGACCGAAGAAGAGAGCTTCTCCGTGAAATAAGAACGGATTCCACTAAAATCTCATTTAATGTAACAGCCTGACATGTTTGTTCCCCGACTTGTGTTAACCTTATGCGATGCATACACGAAATACGGAAATTCGCTGAGCTGAATTGATCGTTATATCTGTAGCCGCTTGTTACCGGACTCACCCCATTTACGGCGCCGTCATGACTCATTTCTCCCTTTTCGTAAAATTGCCGTTCGGTTAACAGCCCCTCGAGTGCGGTGGCCGTGACCAGATCAAGGTCCGTCGGAAATGCGACACTGTCACCGCAGAGCGCTGGTGGCTGCGGTGTCTTGGCAGTCGCCCCGACACGTTGCGTGGATGACGTCACGCCGACGTCCTATCGAGGTATGCAGCGCTCGCGCCGGCGTGCGTCCTATGAATATTCAGCGGGTTCCGGTGCGCCTTTTGCTCAACCACGCGACTCGCGAAACTGTTTGGAGTTCAGCGCAAACAAACTGCGGCCGCACCGTTTGTTTTTCTCACCAACACCAGATTAATTACACTGTCTTCGCCGGCGATGTGACCCATTTTGCTTGCGTCGGGTGAATTATGATGAAATGGCGAGAAGATGCCGAGAGACGCAAGCCCATCGTATTGATGTATTCGTGGGTCGTGGCGTCTTGCCTGGTTGAAGGCACGCTACCACATTGCATATTATCAGAACTAATTGGTCTAGAACGGCTGGCATGGAAAAGCTTTTCCTAGCATCATCCACGATATCCGCGGTTCGATAACGACATTGGCAGGCCGAAGCTCGTTCGGTCTGCCACAACAAACATGATCGCCGGGCTGCACAGTGGGCTTTTCGCTTTTTGTGCAGGGCGAAAGCTATCTGCGACAATTCGAGACAAGACAATGCGCAGGTTCACCGCCATCACGCTGCGTCTGAGTTAGCGGAGACTTCCCTGGCGCCCAGCAAAGTTGGCGAGGATACAGGGTCGTTTTAAGACCAGGCTCAACTGCGGCTTATCAGGCGTCGGCAATCACCGCGCCGCCTCACGTGAGAGGGGTCAACTGGCGTCGAAGGCCGCCTCGGCTCGGTCTTGGCACGCGACCCGGCGTGTAAACAGAGCCAGAGCAGCCACAATGTACGATCTCCGAGGATCTGAATAATCGATAACGGCTTGGCGCTCTCTCTCTCTAGTTTATTCAGTAATGAATACTGATAGGTGGAGACTAACAAAAGAGCAACACCATCCTAAATCATTAAGATGATGGTTATGATCATAACTGATTAGTTTTGCTTGGCTTTGCCCCACAAGTATTGCGACTTTGCACTGGAGCTACGGGTGCATTTTTAAGCAGGTGACGGGTGAGCCCATTAGCACCAGTGACTCTTCACGGCTGGAGGCTTGCTTAAAGCTTCTCGTCGCAGGGAGGTGAATCAACTCTTGGAGATCGAGGCTAGGTTTACATTGCCTCTCAGATGGACTGGCTGGCCCCAGTAGGGTAGAGGCAGAGTTAGTAGAGAGCAGAGAGGTAGTTGAAGGCTATTGGAGAGCTAGTAGAGAGAAGCGTAATGGTTTCACAGAAGAAGTCCTAGCTAGGAGAAAATCTGGTTGTACTCAATTCTCAGAGGAGCTGTACATCAGCAGAGCGATGATGCCTTGAACAAGAATAAAGCTCGAAGTCCATGTGTGCTCGTTCGTGGTACATGCAATATCGGACGTTAAAATCAGTTTTAACGATGTTCCGTCGAACCAGTCTATCCAATGCCATGCCAGGTTTCAAGCTAGCTTTCGAGAATGCACGACACTTGTTTTGCTGACGTTATTTCGTGGTATGCAGTGATGTACTTCATACTATGCTTCAGGCTATCGACTGATTTGAAAACGTGTGCGGTCAAAAGAGGTATCGGCTTATATGAAGTTAACGAAAACATAACAACGTCAGAATTAACCATGCTCCCATTTGCCCCCTGGCGCTGATAGATTGGTTTCTACTAAACGGCTGTGGCATTCCCCGCAGCAAAGAGATCGCGGCAAAGTCTGCGAGCCAAAACAGGCTGACCAGTGACTAGTATGGCTCAAGGATAGCCAACGGCTTGCATAAATACGTGCCTGTGTGTGTACACCTTTGCAGACACAAGAATCCCACAAAGCATGCAGTGCTCCAGGGAAGTGATATTCGTCCTCTCATGCCGTGGGTGATTTGACCTGTCAGCATAGCACACACACAAGTAGGCGAATATATTCCGAGTATTTTCTGTGTCTTGCCAAACAAGGCTTACCAAACAACGAAAACTGAATGAATAGTCCCATTCTCATCAACGTGTATCTGCATCTAATTTTTCAACGTGGCGTATGCTCGCGATATCAAATACTTACCGGATTCAGAGGAAGCCGGCATCACTTAAGCCGGGACACAGACTTTGATGGCCCCTAAGTTCTTCAAGTTCTTAAGGAAGGCAAGTGTGTGGATTCCAGCAACAAGACACACCGTGACGAAACCGTTCACTACGATGATTCTTGCTTCTCAGAAGACCATAACAATATACCAATGGCTCTCCGTGGCACCCGGCACGAAAAGCCACATCAAACCTCAATCCAATATGCGCATTAGGCACATCGGTCATCTCCATGCCACGCAGTGGACAGCACGCAAACTACACAGACACCAAAGTGGCGCCAGGCCGTTACGCAGCGGTTCAATAGGCAACGCACGTTAGCTGCGTTGAGCAGGGCTAAATCAGAATCGACTACGCCGGCAAACTTTGCCCTTGTGTTCTGCCTCAGTCATCCGCCCGAGCGTACCTCAGTCATCCCCCCGAGCGTGCCTCAGCCATCTGCCCGAGCAAGCCTTAGTCATCCATCCGAGCGTGCCTCGGC